CGGGACGCAAAGTTTCCAAACGTGCCCGCGGTGCAGATCACGTGTCAGCTTCGTTACGTAAGCGCCTCCGCTCGCAGTACATAGGCGCCTTGGTCGCGTCTTAAAGCGCGTCTCGCGCCGACCTCCTGCCTCTACGTCCATCTGATCCTTAGCCTCCTCCCACGCACTGTGAGTCACGTTCTCGCTTGCGCCTTTTGGCCAGGTTCCACAGTCTTTGTGGTTCGGTGTAGAGGCCTGCTATTGTCTTTATTCAGAGGGTTTGCTGAGCTGGGTGCCACGTTCGGATATAACCATTAGGTATTCACTCAGGGCTCTCGCTGTATGGTTATACACACGTTGCACTGGCTCTCCAGTGACGAGGACAGCCTCGGACAGCCTCAGACGCACCAGGTGTGGCGCGGCCGGCGATCAGCGATGGCTATCACCCAATGACGGTCTGAATGTGCATTCGCGGTGCATACGGCCGAATCTTCGTTCCATTCCAGCTGTCAATGTCGACTCGGGGAAATAGCACGTGCGCTGTACAAGGTTTCTGCCTCGAGGTGCCAGTAGACCACCCTCATCCGCCCCGTACCCAGTCCGACACTCTTCTTGTTGCACCGTCGCCACCTCTCCCCCATTCTACTTCTTCATCGCTGCCACCGTACTACTAGTACATTGCGTACCAGAATGTCGACCTCACCAGGCGAAAAGCGCATGGACGGTCCAGGTCCCAAGGTACGCATGTGACGTCCAAGCTGGGTCTCATGTCGCAACTTATCTTTGAATCTCCCTGTGCCAGGACCCCTCAGGCCTTTACGGCTGGGCGGGAATAGAGGCGACCGTCGTGAAGGACGACGAAGGGAAGATGAAAGGGTACTCTGAAGACATAGACACCCTCCTTGTCTTCGTGAGTTTTAATATTCACACGTTCACATTCGATCTACCTGACGCCCACAAAGGCCGGTCTGTTCTCCGCCATACTCACCGCCTTCGTTGTCCAGACATATCAGATGCTCCAGCCATCTAGCACTGACCTCACAAATCAACTCCTTACTACCAATAACCAGATCCTTGCCGAAAACAACCGGATCCTTGTCCAGGGACTCTCCGCCGTCCTCACCGGAGCTCCGTTCTCCCCTCCTCCGCTGACGTCTCCCGTAGATCCTCCGCCGTTCGAGCCATCGACTCCGGCGCGATGGATCAACACCCTGTTCTTCATCAGCCTCGTCCTCAGTCTCGCTGCCGCCCTGATAGGGATCCTGGTCAAGCAATGGGTGCTTGAGTACATGCAGTGGAATTCGACTCTTGCAGCGCCGCGCGAGAATGTCATGGTGCGGCAATTCCGGTTCGAAGCGTGGGAGGCCTGGAAGGTCTCGGCGATCGTCTCGACGGTGCCGGCGCTGCTCGAGGTTGCCATGATCCTCTTCCTCATCGGCATGGTCATCCTGCTCTGGACATTGGACGACGTCGTTGCGATCTGTCTGACAGCTTTCACGGCGATGTTCCTGCTAGTGATCGCCGTATTCACTGTCCTCCCTGTGTTCTCACGCCGGTGTCCGTACAAGTATCCGACGGCATGGGCGGTCATGGCGGCTTGTAAAATCACGTCCCATTCCGTGATCTTCTGTTTGAGATGGATCAGAGTGTATCCTTCTCTGCTACGTCGTCGATGGTCCAAATTCACCGGTGCGTTGTGCAGGATTAGGCACGTCATTCACAGCCTAATGTTCTGTCAGAGGAAGTAAAAGACTTTACCATTTGGGGCTACATTCTTCTCGTAATCACCGTACCTTGCACATTCATTGCAATAGTCTTATTCGGTGTAAATGCTGATGGTTTGAAGCCACAACATGTCAAGTGGAAACGACTACCATTCAGCTGGCGCGATGCCGACCTCGCCAGCTGCAGGACCATGTTACCGCGCTTTGGGCCTCAGCAGCTCAAGTACGAGACCATTCACGCCGCAGCAGAAGAGACTCTCTCAGTGGTCAATTTAGACAGCTTGGAGCGAAAGGCTGCTATGGACGAGCTGTCCGTCGAGGCCAAGGAGACTGTCCTGCTCCTGCGAGCGCTATCCTGGGTCGCAAAGTCGTCACAAAACTCTCACGTCATCGCGTATATCAGCAATGCCACGATGTCAACTGTCGCCCTCAAGAGCGAACTTTGGATTGCCTCATTCGTATCACTGCTCAGCCAGGCGAGG